ACTCCTTCTGGATGAAGGGCTTCCTTCTCTTTATTTTTTAAATATAGACCTTTTGCTGTTCCCAGCTTCTTTAGTCTATGCAAATGTACCTGTTGCAGCTTTTCAGCTCCCCTATTCTATGAAAATACACCTTCTGCTGCTCTGTACACCTGTGCTTCTTCCATGGTCCCCTTAATTTTTAAAATTTCTAAAATTTACTAAAACCTGTCCTTTTCACCCCCTAAAAGTTCCTGTTTCAGAGGAAGTCAGTTAAAAAGATGTTTAAGTAGGGCTATTACAATATGGAATATCTCACCTGTATATTGATGAAAATAGTACAGTAGGAGGAACAAATTCAAGTTTCAGGAGGAGACACAATTGCATCAGTGACTTTCTTAAATATATGAGAGAGTGTCAGATCTGAGGGCAGCAATAGAGAAGCTGACCTCAAAGAGAATCTGGCAACGTTCACCCATTCTAACAGTAGAGAAGAATGTATGGGTCTAGGAGGTAGATTGGTTGATAAATGTGATGGGGAAGTGATTGATATAAAATTTACTTTAACTGCTACCACTGTCTTAGGGAAAAAGTAAAATCATGAACTAAGAGCTGAGGGAGGCAGCGTGGTGATGGCCTGTCTGAAGAATGGAGAATTGATGTGGGATTGCCTTGACAGTATTGAGAGATCGCTTGGAGTATGAAGTCACAGTTTCAAGTGGGACCAGTTGGATGGCTGCACTGTATTTTTCTCTAACCATTTTTAACTCTCATGTACAGATATTGAGCTGGTGGAAACACTGAAGGTCATCAGTGTTGGGAATTTGCCAGGTGAATATGATGGGAGGAAACTGGGAGTGTGTAGCTGTGTGTTTGGGAGTGACCATAATGAAGGGTCTGGAATCCAAGTTGTGTAAGGATGAAAATGAGAACGTGAAGATGATAGACAAGGCAAAGTTAGGATCAATGCACCCGAGTTCCTAGTGGAGGAAGGAAAAACAACAACAGTTGACCTACAAGTAGTAGAGAGCGGAAACAAAGTACAGGAGGCAGCAATGAGTCATGCCTAGGGAATGATCGTAACAATGAGTGGTGGCCAAATGGGGGTGAAAACAAAATCATACGAAATGGAGTGGTCAGGGACTGAGTAATCACCAATAACTTCAAAAACTCCTGACATACTAGTAAGCAGGTGCCTTATTTACATCACAAGGCGCTGTGAATAGATGACTATAATAAGGAGAGCAGGTAATTGACAGGAGTTTGCTTTTGCTTTGTTTGGTTTAGGGAGGGAGGCAGGAATAGCAATGTTTCTGGAAGTAGCTGCAGAACACCCATCACCTCTTGGCCTAAAGTGATTTAGGTATGGGGAAAAAACAATCACCACTTACCTTCGATATCCTCTCCTGAAAATATAGGGAACTGTGCAATGCCATTTGGAAAGACAACTATAAACAGTTTAAAAACACTGTGATACTTGAAGTTATTTATAGATTTTGTTATGTGGAGGTTCCTAATATGTTATCTGCTATGTATGGCTTAATTCAAAAGTATATAAATATCATACTCAAACAGTCAAATACGTGAGTCCTTTTGTAAAAGCAAGGTCTCTACAAAAGCTGTGACAAAAAAATAAATAAATAAACAAACATTAAACAACCAGGAAAAGCTACATCGCATGTATTTGTGAATTTACTGAGCACATGTCTGATTAATCATCCTACTTGATGGTACACAGGATTACCAGACCTGGAAACTAGAAATTAGAGAAAAACCCACTATCTGCTTTGGATAAGTCCAGCATGCAGCATGCTAGATGCTCTCATTCTACATATATATATATATATATCTTTAATTTTTTTTTGTTAATCCTCACCCGAGGATTTTTTTTTAAATATATATTTTATTGATTTTTTACAGAGAGGAAGAGAGAGGGATAGAGAGTTAGAACATTGATGAGAGACAAACATCAATCAGCTGCCTCCTGCACACCCCCTACTGGGGATGTGCCCACAACCAAGGTACATGCCCTTGACCGGAATCGAACCCGGGACCTTTCAGTCCGCAGGCCAATGCTCTTATCCACTGAGCCAAACCGGTTTGGGCCGAGGATATTTTTCCATTGATTTTTAGGGAATCGAGAATATTTTTCCATTGATTTTTAGGGAATGTGGAAGAGAGAGGGAAAGACAAAGAGAAACATCGATGTGAGAGAAACACATCGACTGGTTGTTTCCTGCATGAGCCCGGCTGGAGAGGAGCCTGCAACCTAGGTCCATGCCCTTGACCGGAATCAAACCCAGGGCCCTTCGGTCCGCAGGCTGAGGCTCTATCCACTGAGCCAAACCAGCTAAGGCTAGATGTTCTCATTCTTAAAAGAAGACTTACTAATTGTATATTTCCCAAGAAATATAAAACAATAGTATCCCCTCTGGAGAAAATGGAAGGGCAATGCAGAGGAAAGGGAAATTATTAAGTAAACAGACAATCTTCCTAAGAATTTTCACCCTCACTAGTATATTATATACCAATAATAGAAACATATAGTAGGAAGAAAATTACAATTAATGAGTTAATGTGAAATTCTGATATGGGAAACTTAAATCCAACTAAACTGACAATAAAACAGTACATTCAAGTTCAAATCGTATTTTAAAATTAGTCTTTGTACCTAAAAATTGAGCCAAAACTACTAGTTCAGTGAAAAGGTGTTTTAATATCAATTGAAGTGGTATCTATCTATAACACGTAATAGAAAGTACATGGCTTTGCATAATTTTTGTCATGGAAACATGTTTGGACACTCTTGGAAAAAACATCAAATAACATCCAAGTTTAACAACCACTCCCCACATTATAACATAGTAATATAATTGAAGATGGCAATACTGTGAAACTACCCAGTGAGTTCTACCTAGAGAAGGGAAGGGGTGGAAACATGAATTTTTATAAAAAGATAAAGAATAAGAGATTTTTTCAATTTGCATATGCTGCTGTCCTGCTGCCTGTTTTGATCAGCCGAATTAAATACCCACATTGTGTCCCTTGAACTGACATTGCTGCCTGATTAAATCATGACCATGACAAGCCAAGACTCAATTTCCTGGTGCCTTATGCAAATTGGTCTGAGATTGGACATGTTGTTGACTGCGCTGTGGCCTCCTTGCATCATGCCCTTCTTCAGTGTCCTCCCACACTGACTCTGCATTGGGTAATAGTAGTAGCAAAGTTGACTCAAACGAGGTTGAAACCTGTTTGCATGTTCAAGAGTCTTCTCTTGGAACTCTACTACCACTAGGGAAAATGTCTGGTCTAGCCTGCTGAGAAGATATGTTACATCACCCCAGCCACCCTAGACTAGCTCACAACCCCCTCCCCACACAGCAGACCTGCCAGGTCATTGTAGAAACATGAGTAAGTCCAGCCAAGATCAGCAGAACAACCCAACTGACTTGCAGATTCACACACATTATAAAGAACGGTTGTTTAAGCCAGGAACATTTTGAGGTATTATGCAGCATTAATTGCTGACTGAGTGGCCAGGCTAGCCTTACTTACATTGTCCTCTCTGCCTCCGGCATAACCTAGATGAGTTAGGTTCAACTACAGTAGGAAGTGGAAAACGGAAGCACCCTGACCGGTGTATCTCAGTTGGTTGGGTCACCCTGTACACCAAAAGGTGGTGTGCTCATTTTCCAGTCAGGGTACATACCGAAGTTGCAGGTTCAGTTGGGGCTCATACAGGAGACAACTGATTGATCTTTCTCACTTCAATATTTCTTGCTCTCTCTCCCTCGCCTTCTCTCTAAATAAATAAACAAATAGATAGGTAGGTAGGTAAAATGGAAGCTAATGCCCAGCTGGCGAGGCTCAGTGGTTGAGCATCGATCGACCTATGAACCAGAAGGTCATGATTCCATTCCCATTCAGAGCACATGGCCACGTTGTGGGCTCGATCCCTCACAGGAGGTGTGCAAGAGGCAGCTATTCAATGATTCTCTCTCATCATTTGATGTTTCTCTCTCTCCCTCTCCCTTCCTTTCCAAAATAAATAAAAATATAAAATAATCTTTTTAAAAAGAAAAATGAACAAATATTTATGTAAAGGTTAACATACTCTTTCATTTCCAATGCAAATGATTCTATTAACATCTTAATCATCTTTGAATCTGATTCTTATATACACCTAATATGCAAATATTTGAATAAGTTATTTTTAAATTACATTTGTTAGTATATAACTAAAGAAAAAAAGCTCCAATGCAAAACATTTTAATAGGTTGTCAAATATACAGTTATTAGAATTATCTAAATATCACTTATAAAAATTGGTATATCACATTAGATGATTCTATAAAATAAAATCACACATTGACAATAACCCCTGCAGTCCAAGACTACCCCCATCAATAGTACAAATTACAAATACATTAAGAGACATTTAAACCAAAAAGTAACTCTGACTAGACTAAATACATTCATTCATCAACTACAA